TTAAAATGAACACTGTAATGAAATCTCACCCAATTTTCTACTCCTGTCTGCAGTACTGGAAAGCTAACCATAACCTCGTTTCTGTACCCATCTTCCTTTGCTTTCATGAAAATAAGGCCTCCTGGCTTTTAACTTGGCGGTTGGCTTGCTCTCCCATGGTTTTCCCAGGGTTTTCCCTGGGTTTTTCCCGGGCTCTTACTCTTCCATTCACTACTTGGTGTTGGTGCTCCCCACACTGTTCACCATGTCCTTACTCTGCATTCTCTGAGCGATTTTCTTGTTTTCTATTCATTGATTTAACTACCAAAAGAGTGTTAGAGGCTTCCAAATCTAAATATCATTAGATATGCATTCAAATTAACCTTTAGATTTCAAATGCATTCATTCATAAAAAAACATTTTATTGAGGGTTCTGCTGTGCCAGAAATAGTTCAGGTTGCTGATTCAAGACCCGACTGCTTCTGGTTTACTGCTGGTTCCCATCACTTACAATCTTTACATGAGTGATTGAAAACATTCAAAGCGCAACACATCTAAATCTAAACTCGTCAGATTGCTGTAATCATGTGTCCATTACCCTTTCTCCACGATATTACTGAATGTCAATGTTACCCGAGTCTCAGTCATCTTTCCAGTATCATCCATCAGAAGGGTGAAAACAATCTGCTCATTCTATCTCCTTCATATTTCTCTGATTAAACCTCTCCTCATTTCCACAGCTATCGCCTTAGTTCCTTCAGTAATCACCTCTTACCCTTCTAGAACAGCCCATGGTACACAGTATACATTTGTGGAATGAATTCAAGGATAAAAAAAATACAAGAAAGGATGGAATTTTGAAAAATTGCTGTCACCTACTTACAGGTAATACTGACTCCGATGGAATCTTCAATTTATTTACTGAACTGAAGAACAGGCAACATTCACATCTGATTACATTATTCCCCTGTTTTTCAACACTCAGTGACCACTACTGCCCTCGGCATGAGACTAGATTCCATGGTTGGCAATTTGAGACTTGTCTTTTTCTCCTCCCACCTCCCTGTGGCTGTACCCATCCTTCAAATACTTAACAGTACCTGGAACTACTGTGATAACTCATAATTTCCTATCTTTGCTCAATGTGTTTTCTCTCCCAAAATTATTCATTTCTCATCGCACTGCCTACCTAAAAATCAATTAGCTAATCTGTACAAACTCAGCTCATGCCTCACTTCCTCTTTGGCCTGTGCTAGTTTCTGCCTTGTCTCCTCAACTTCCTCCTCTTTTCCCATGTGGTTTTGTAACCCATCCCTGTAAGAACACCTATAACATTGCTTCACACATGTCCACATGCCTGTTGAGTTTCCATCATGGAGTCTTTTCCTTCTTCGAGAGTGGAGACTTTTGTTTATTAATTTGGTAATTAGCACACAGTAAACACTGAAATATCACAGACTAATAAATTGCTGAATGAATGACTTTCAGACAGATTTAGGTAAGGGACTGTTATCATAAGGTTTTCATCTTATGAATAACACCACGAAGAAGGCTAGGAACAGAAGCCCAATGATCAGGAAGGAGAATATTATTATCATCAAATGTTCAGCTAGTAAGAAACAGAGTGGGACAGCAGAAGTAGGAAAGAGAAGGGAACACTTCTGAAACATATTTATAAAGTGAACAAACATAATCTAACGGTCTTCTAGAAGGCCTACTGGAACAAGCATGAGAAAAAGAATGACTCCACGGCTGCCAGCTTAGATGACTGGACTGTTCCTTCTAGCTTAAAAAACGATGAATTCACAGGTAGGACGTTAAACCAAGCAAAGATACACTGGACACAGTGACAAGTTACAAGCATTTGTAACACTGTTTCCTGTACAATTTCTCAGAACCACACTTACTGGATCAATGCAAATTTATAATTGGAGCCCCTTTGTGGGTTCCATTACTACCATGGTTATACTTCTAAAATTTTCCTATAAAGAGAAGGAATTAAAAAGGAACAAACAACATTCACAGAAATATGTCACCTCATATTTGAATAGCTTGTCTAGTAAACTGCAGAGCAGGTGAAGACAGGAAACTGACTAGCTGGCTGGTAAATCCTGAAGAGCAATCAAGGCACAGTGCTCCTAATCTCCACTAATTTACAGAGATTGGAAGAAAGTATTTGAAGTAGGTCGTCTCTTGCTCTGGCCAGCCACCCTACAGGTAGGCTGGGATACAAACTCTTGGAACCACATTTTATGGCATTAAAATATCATTATAATAATTGTTTCATATTTAACAGAAATTTTTGTTTTACCTGAAACAGAGCTTTAAGCATACTTTTCTTATTTCTTGGCGGTGAAAATACTGGTTGACCAAGTGCATTCATTGATGAACTGCCTCATTAATCACAGTGCACTTGTTTTTGGCAAGAACCTTAATGTGCTACAAAAACTGTTATTAATGTAAGATTTGGGGATTCCCACGCTGGCAGGGAATTAGTTAGTTACAACTCTCTAGAAATTGTTTTCTTATAATTTGCTGTATTATTAATGGTCTGGTTAGGCTTATAGCTCAAAGCAACTTTGCTTTACTAATTTAATGTGTGAAGTCCACCTACACTACAACTCATTTAAAATCACAAGCAGCAATTGCCAAAAATGGCCTCTTTCTCCATGGTCTGCTGCAATGGCACACAATGCTCCCTGAAGACGCTACCAGCACTTCCTTCTTTGTGCTGCTATGGGTCTGCTACCCACATCTGTTGCTCAGATACTATGGTTTCAGACTCTTGAAGTGTGTAATGCACAACTTCACATTACTTACAACATATTGACAAGTCCATAAGCTATCTCCTATCTACCACCAAAGACACTGCTAGACCAATAAAGCCAGGGAAACAGAAGTGTATCCAAACTTGAGCCATTTGAGAAAACATTTATTAATATTTAAAAATCCTGTAAGGCCACGAAAATCTGTTAAACACCAAAAACACTCAAAAGAAAATGTTGCATTGCAGGAGGTTCTCATTGCTGTTCAAGAACAACACAGGAAATACAAAGTATGTCCACCAATCAAAGTTGTCTCTAACCTTTCCTGAATACAAAATGCATAAATTACCCAAAAAAAAAAAAAAAAGAAAGCCTATAAATGGCATCATATTGAAAATTCCAAGTCATGACTATTCTGGGCATACTCTGGTAGAAACAGTCACTATCCATGCAGTATATATTTCCTGCCAGATTGATCATTCACTTTGCTAAATGTTTTAGGATATTCTGACAGGTCAAAATAATTCACTAGGCTCATTAAGTAATAGGATTAATTACAGATCAACCCAATGAGATGAACATGGGAAACAACAGTAGTGTTTCTCTGTGTCTATCACGCATGACGGTAATCACATCTAAATCAATGAGGCTCTTGCAATCAGTGAATAACAGAAAGTTGTGTCTTTTGAAGCAATAATGACACAACAGGATATCGTCTTTGTGTACACTGTGAAGCAGAGAGTTGACTGGAATATTCTACCTCACACCACACAATCTGGGACTGTAAAATTTTCCAGACACCAGAACCCCACAGATTGTAGACTTCACCAATTTCCTGACTCCTACGTGGTCAAATTCCAGGTTCACCTATTTACAAAACCAGCCCCTTCTTTTATGTTGTCTTAAAAAAAGAAATGACTCCGTGTTGACGCCAACCCTTTATCCGGGCTGAGAGATATGTGTGGATGACCCGCCTCATTTCTAAAAGAAATCTAGTTCGTGTGTTCAAAACATATTTCAAAACATATTTTACTACGAAACAAGGAACGCATCAGTGACTGCCTGAACTTTCTCCATGGGTCTCCTAAGACCTAAGTCTTTACATTTCACTTTAACATTAAGAAGCCAGACAGGGTGGGGGTTTGGGGGGAGGGAACTAAAAAGAGAAAAAGAAAAAAGGAGAAAGGGAAAGAAAAAAAATGAAAAGAGTTGGGGGCGTAGCAGCATAAAAACAGCCTTAAAATGTCCAGATCAACCTCACTCTAACGGGAGATTAAATGAATGGACATTGTGGGAAAAACAGTAGTAAACTTTAAAGCCACTGAAAGGTTTTAAATGCCTAAGGGGAAAATAAACATTTGCTTCCAATCATTTTCTCATTAAGCATTCTCTGCTAGATGGCGAGGGCTGACTTAACACACACACGCACACTTTGACTCCACGCCACAAACGCCGACTTAACCCACTGCCTGATCCCTGTCCGAGACAGCCCATTTGCGCTTCAGCGGGTGCACCTCGGCCCGAGCTCCTGCGCCCCACGGGCTGCGGCCGCAGCGAGGGAGCACGGCTTCGCCCAGCCCGCTCGGCTCTTGGAGACCTTGGCCACTTTCTCTGTGGCAGGAAGGGCTCCACGCACTGACAGATTTTCCGTTAGTGGTGGCTGGGGTGGTGGCGAGGCATGCTTCCGGACGCACTTAAAACCCAGCCGCTGTCTCCACCAAGTAGCAGCTTCCCCTGCTCCGCCCCCAGCACCGAGGACCCAGCCCTCGGTGTCTCCTCTCTCCACCCTGTCCCAACCTGCCAGCACCTCCCCTGTCTACTCTCGAGCCTCAAAGGGCGCAAATCCTCCCTTTGCATTTCCCAGCTCCCGGGCGCCCCGCTCGGTTGAAGTTTACGTATCTCAGGACCTAATTGCTCCCCATTATCCGCGTAGCTTAAGTCTGCCGGGTTCTCCCGCCCCAGGTGCCTGAAGCTACTACCAGGCAATTCATTGGGTGTCCTCAGGGAGACGGGTGCAAAGCTGCGGCTGTGGGACAGGTGGGGCTGGGGAGGTGCATGGCTCCAGGAGAAAGCCCACTAACACGTGCAATGAAATAAAACCCCCACGTGTGCGCGCGTGAGTGTGTGTGTGTGTACGCGCGCGCTTATGCGCGCGACGGGCCAAGGCGCAGATGCCAAGCACGTTCCAGGGCACCCAGCTCAAGGGGCTTCAGGAGCGGGCGTGGCGAGGGGCGCGCGGGGGGCGCGGGTACTCACACGAACGCGTGGTAGACGAACGCCCAGCCGCGGGGTCTCTCCAGCACGTTGTACAAATAGTTCTGCACCCGCCGGTACTTGACGTTGCGCCGGCAGCTCTGGCTACTCGTGTAGGAGAGCGGCTTCCCCAGCAGGCTCATCCGGGCCCCCTGCTTGCCCCGGCGGCTCTCCCTCAGGCCGCCGCTGCCGCCGCCGAGCGCGGCCGCGCGGGTGCCCAGCAGCAGCAGGCCGTCGCCCCTGGCGGCCGCCGAGTTCAGCAGCACCCTGCCGCGGCCCGACTCCACATCCTTCATGCCGCTGCCCAGGCGCCCCCCGCCCGCCGCCGCCGCCGCCGCCGCCGCGCCGCTCTTCACCCAGAGCCCGGCGGCGCCGCCCTCCTCTCCTCCCGCGTGGTGGCGGGGCATGGCATCACCACGGGCACCGCGAGGGGGGCGCCAGCGCCTGCGTCGGGGGCAGCGGCCTCATGTGCGGCGGCAGCCGACGGGGCGCCCGCCGGCCAGCGACCTTCCGCCGGGGAGGGGGCGGGAAGCCGGCAGCCAGCACAGCCCCCGGGCTTCGGGCGGGGGCTCAGGGGCGTGCGGAGGAGGCCGACGAGTCTCAATTGCTTGCAGCTTGTAGCTTCGGAGTTCGGAGTCCGGACCTGTTGGGGGCGTCGCCGGGAGAGGGTTTCTCTCGCGCCCTCGTATTCCCGCGGCTACCACTGCCTCCTTGCCCAAGTGCCCCCAGGGCTGGAGCGGGGGAGTGCGGGGCGCTCTGAGGCGGCGCGCTCCCACGCGCGCACGCCCAGCCCCAGGCTCTCCGTTTCTCCGCTCTTTCCACTCTCCACGCCCAGCCTGTGTCTGCTCCCCTCTCCGCGGTGCGAGTGCGGGTTGCTTCTCCCGGGGGCTTTGGAGCTAGCTGTCCGGAAGGTTAAGTCGGCCAGGTGCCCCGAGGAGAAACGGGAGACGCAGGTCGCTGCGCTCTCCAGCCGCTACGCCGCGCCAGGTCCTGCCATCCTCCCGCAAAGGGTGCGAGCGGGCACTGCCCAGCCCTGCCCTGCCCTCCAGGTAGCAGCTCGGCCGGCCGGAAGGGGCGCGAGGGGCGACGCTCTGGGCGCAGCCAGCCAGTCCTCGGCAGCTCAGTGGGCAGGGCCGAGGGACGCGTCTGCTGAGCCCGCGAGGCAGGCACTGGGCATCTTCCCGCGGCTCAGTCCAGCCTGCGGGCTGTGACTTTCCATGCCAGCCTCAGAACGCAAGCCCGCGGCTAACTGGACATCCTTCGCGGCACGGGGGTGGGGTGTGGGGAGGGCGTCAAACTCCGAAGTGGCTCCTTTGCGGTGAGCGAGCTGCCCCCGGGGCTCCGCCTGACAGCCGAGCCTTGGAGACCAAACCCAGTTCCCTCCGTAAAGAAATTTCCATTTAAGTCCGAGAAAGTCATAAAACTGCTAAGTCGCGGTGGCGGTGGCGGCGGCGGCCCCAGTGCCTGGGAGAGGAATCCTGGAGGGTGAGGAGCCCCAGGACAAGGCTTCTCCGGTTCCCACCCCGCCCCTGCGCGCTGCTCTAACTTACTGGGTGAGAAACGTGCTGCGAGGAACCTCCGGCTGGGGTTCCCGCCGCCTCAGGCAGCCAGGCGCCCCAGAGCCTGCGCCTTTGGTCGGGAGGGAAGCCACGGGGCCACTGGCCTTCCGTGTGTGGGATAACGCCTAAGCGGTTAAACATCACACACCGCTTGGGGGAACTTCCTCCAGCAGAGTGGCTTTGCTCCCAAATGAGAGAGAAAGCAATCTCCACTTAGACTGAACTAAGCTTGCAAGGTGGATTATTCCGCGTGCCTTTCTCCTTCCCTAATCCTAAAGTAATACTAAGGCAAAAGTCTTATTTCGGCTGTCTCCACCCCTCTGAGATAAACACTCTACCAATTCCCGCTTCTACCCACACACACACCCGCCGCAGCTGCTTTCTGGGTCCCGCAATAGCTGAATTGAAATACTGTACTTTTACTTTTCATTGTTGTCGCTATTGTTTGCGCGAAGCCCTCTCCCGTGCTCCTGGTCGCCAGCAAGACCTTGCTTTCCCCCAAGCCTCTGGGCAGCAAGCACCAGCTCTGAGCTCGGTGCAGCTGGCGGCGGTGCCACGTGACTGTGAGCCAAGCACCAACACCCAGAGTCACTCTCGCTTTCCCCTAATACACTTCACACCCACGCACTGTGGAGGTGCGAGAGAGATTGCTCCGTGCCCTTCTATTCGAGGCAGCTGCAGAGAGCACCCTTGAGCAAGCTCTCCAATCCCAGAGCTGCGGCGGGGACCCCCACTGAAGGCGGGGGGGGGGGAGTTTGCTGCTGCTATATTTAGACTCCCCACGGAATTTCTGTGCAGGGACTTTCAGAGTGAAAGATCTGGAAACTTAAAATGACTTGTGTGCGCGCTTTAAACGAAAATCTTGGCTGTTTCGCAGGCAGTAAAACGAAAACCACTTCCTCTTACCCGAACTGTTTTTGTAGCAGACTTCTACTACAGCTGGGGTAGGTCAGGTCGCTTCAGCTTCACCGCGCCTTTGGGTCCCAGTGCAGGCAGGAAGTTTCAGGAAGGCAGGGCGCAAGGACACGTTTCCCTGGGAAGAGAGCCAGCTGCTTGATTTTCAAGTAATGCTTTCCTGGGGGTGCAGCAATAATGTAGTGAAACAGCTATGTCAGTTAAGCAAATATCATTACATTTTTTAAGACATCAGATCCAATGATTGGTAGGTTTAGAGCTGAGAGGGACCTTTTTCAAAAAAATTATGATTTTCTTTCAAAAAATGTTTAAGATATATTTATTTATTTGAAAGAGTTACAGAGGGAGAGAGAGAAAAGAGACAGGGAGAGAGAGATCAATCTTCCATCCACTGGTTCTCTCTCTCCAGGTGGCCAAAACCGAGTCTCCCATGTGAGTTCAAGGGCCTTAGAACTTGGGTCATCTTCCCCTGCTTTCCTAGGCCATTCATTATCAGGGAGCTGGATTGGAAGCTGAGCAGTCAGGACTTGAATCAGAACCCATATGGGATGCTGGCACTTCAGATGGCAGCTTAACTTGCTATGCCGCAGCACCTGCCCCTCTTTTCAAAATTTTTAATGAATTTATTTGAAAGGGAAGGAGTGGGAGAGGCAGAGAAAAAGAGAGAGAGAACCCTCCCACTGAACTCAGTACAGGGCTCCCACATGAGTGGCAGGGTCCCAGCAACCTGAACCATCACCTGCTGCCTCCCAGGGTACATTAAGAGGAAGTTAGGGACTGACTCCAATATTCTGGCATGTGGTCTTCCAACCTGTAGCTTAGCTGCCAGGCCAAATACCCACCCCTGGGAGGGACCTTAGATCCTTTCTTCTTAATAAGCTTTGCCTAGATAAATAACCCAAGAAGGTGGCTTGATTTTTGTGTAGTGAGAAAGTTATCAGCATCCCAGCAAATTTGCTTCCCACATTATCCTTTATACCAAAGCCATCAGCATCTCCAACAGGGGATGGAGAAAACAGCACATGGTTTTGTATCGATGTTTTGCCTGTTGCCATCAGGAAAGACTGATTTAGCTGGAAACCCTTACTGTTGTCCTCTCCATTTCCTGGATGAAAAGGCCAAGTGAGGCTGCCTGAGTCTCTCCTCCTAGATTCCACTTGTACTTTACTCTGTTTGCCACCTGCTAACTTTCTTCCAAAGACAGGAATCAACTTTAGGAAAAATGAGCAGTGTGTGATTAAGCTTTGTTGTTGTTCTTTTGAATACAGATGTTGAAAAACTGCCAGATATTAATTCCTTGGCTGAAATACTAAAACTCAAAGAAAAGAGGGTAGTCATATTGAACAGAAAATAAAACAATGTACCATTCTAGATTCTTTGCATAATAATTACACTGGATTACTGTGAAGAAGTAGAGGTAAAGTTAAATAGGAAGCACCTTTTCCAAAGGCCAATGTTTATTGCTAGAGTAGAGCACATGAGTTAGTTGGCCCTCCCTATCCTTTGAGTTTGTTTTGATTTCTACCATTCAGTTTATCTGCATTGCATTATGCCTGTCTGCAATTTATGACTTTGGAAACTTATTCTCTGGAGTCTACATGGAGGTGGTTTCAACTCAATATAGCTACCAGAAATATTTTATTTCAGTGTACTTTCTATCTCATTGCATTTTTCTTCTGAAAGTTACTTCAAAAATTCTATACATGAGCAAGAGATGCATAAGGCATATGCTCACTGTTTTCAGAAAGGCAGAATAAGTAGATCTAAACTGGTTTCACAAAATGCCAGTGGCTCCGTTGCTCTCCCCTTTTCCTTCTTCTCCATTCCTACCCATTTCCCCTGATTGTACCAATCCTCTTACCACAGTAAATCCTTCCATCAAGTCACGTTCATGGTTCTGAATAAATAGTGCGTGAGAAAATACAAATCTTTAGTGAGATGGATGGACTTTGATCCCATGTGAAATCCCTGGGCTGATTGGAACAATCATTCTAATATTTTATTTAATAATAAAAAGAAGGCTTAAACCTTAGAGCAAAAAGGAAATTTACTGATAAAGAACTGGGAATCTATGTTTGGCTACTGTTCAATGACTCGCACAAGGCTCAGCAGTTTGCCATGGAGGCCTAGAGGTAGAAGGAAAGCCTCCTGACTCCAGAGCAGAAAGCCATGTGGGCTACATCACATCCTTCCTTAGCTTTTATTTCTTCCTATCAGGCCATAACCAAACCACTAAGCATAGCAACTAGAGTGTACTTTATAAGTATCTTCTTATAATCACCAGTTCAGTAACTATATTTACCTGTTTTCATTAGTTTAAATGGAGCAGCATCATGTGCCATAGTACTACTTTTGTAAATCAATCAACAATTTTTATCTCTAAGAGTTAGAATACAAGCTTCTCAAGGCATTTCTCCAACAAGCTGGAGTTGATCAGAGATCATCTGAGTCTGGCCAGGGTGAAGGTTTTCCTCCAGCAGGAACCCCAGGCCTTCTTCACACAATGAATGAGGCATGGTCCCTGTGGAACAATCTCTTCCATGGGATGCAGAAATGATGGAAGTATATGTGTTTATGGCTGCAAGAAGGTAGCAGGGGATCAGAGAAACAGCGTGGAAAGGATTCCAAATGGTTTCATTATTTTCATTCTAGTAGCTACCAAAATTTATTTTTCTAAGAATTTCTATAATATGGCACTGATCATCATTATCAAAGAAAAATGCAGCAAATATTTAGCTCATATTTACTATGAGCTCAGTATTGTGATTTACAAGGATTATTTGATTTGGTTCTGCCAACAGTCTCAGAAGTAGCTACTATAATCATATTTTAACTTATAGGAAAAGATATTGATGTGTATTTGGATTAATAATTCATCAAAACTAATAAAACTTAGGATACTTAATGCAAAAGCCAACAGCCATATTTTTATACTAATGTTGTATTAACTTTTGAAATAAAAAGTCCAGCCTTTTATTGTTAATGATGTTGACACATTTTCATTACAAGGGAAGTACACTCATGCACTGCATTAAGGACATCTCCACCAAGGATGTATTGCATATATCATGGACGTCAAAGAAGATTATGGCAGAGCTGAAAAATTCCTATCACCTCGTGATGTTCTAGCTGTCCCAAGGTAGTAGCAAAATGCACTATTCACGTGTTTGTGATTAGGGTGATGCAAACAAACCTGTTTAGGTACACTAAAATCTACTTACAAATACAATAATCATTACGTTATAATTGCCTACAGTATTGAGAACAATAATATGTTTACAGGTTTGTAGCCGATAAGCAATAGGCTATACCTTATAGCCCAGGTATACAGTAGCCATTCTGTCTAGGTTTGTGTAAATTAAATTCCATGCTGTTTGCACAAGGGCAAAATCACCCATAGACACATTTCTCAGAATGTACCCTCATGGTTAAATAATACTGAGCTGTACTGGTAAGTTTTTATTCATTGCTTTAAAGCTGGGTTTGAAATTTTATTCTAAAGACAGAAATTGCTTTGATATTCCTCTTCCCTTTTCCTGTGAAAGTAAGGGTTCCCCTGCATACACAAATTTCTGTACTAAAAATTTTAAAATTATCTACTGTCCATAGTACCAATTTCTTGAAATTGAAATTACATTTTGATCCTCTCCCAACATTACATTCAGCTTTATTCATTAAATCCTATTTATCATATTTGGCTATACCTGATTTCATTTTTTTCTTATATGTTAGTGAGGCAGCACAATCCTTTATCTTTTGGCAAGCTATTTCAATCCTTCTTTCTAGAAGTAATTTTAACAGAATTGTTTGAGCTTTTTAAGAACCATGTATTTAGAAATTGAAGCAGTCAGTAGAGAAGGAAAGATCTCCTTGGAGCCAGGGTACTGGAAAATTCTGTTATAATTCTGTGCCCCCTAGTGGCACTGACTTTTTACCATTATTTTTTCAAAGGGGAATCAAGCAACCTTTATGAAGCTCTCTAAATTTCCTCATCCTTTAAACAAGCAATCACTGATCATCAGGTGCCTTGCTAGCTATGGTGAGGCAAAGGAGAAAAACAGTACTAATTGTTATTTTCAAGGATTAGTGGATGGGGATGGATAATGAAAGATCATGTGGTCATAACTGGGATTCTCTGAACTCGGGGAAGAACGTTTTAGGAAGCTATGGAGAATTTACTAGAAGAATGTCATAGTTGAGCCAAGTCTAAAGCAATAACTGAACTTTGTTGAAGACATAAGGACAGAGTATTTAAGCAGAAAACACTTGAGAACATGTGAAATCTTGAAAGCTGATCAAGCTTTAAGAATGAAAATTAGTTGGATTCCACTGAAGTTCAGGTTGCTTTGAGGATATAGCTGTAAGTGGGAGGCAGAAGTGAAGTAAGGGCTGTATTACTGAAGATATCAGCAAGAACTTCGGATTTTATTCTGACTTGAACAGAGAACCACTGAAGAACATTTAGCAAGAAGCATTACATATTCCCACTCCTACCTTCAGAAAAGCACTTGATATCGAATGAATACTTGTAAGTGGTACA